ATAGTTGACCTGTAATTCGTGTGTAGATGATTCAATGGCCACCACGGTAAGTGTGGTCCCCATCTGTCACCCTCCCACGTTGCGACGATATTACTATGTTCCCTATGCTGGGCTTTCCATCACCATGACTGACTTTATAACTGGAAGTTTGTACGTCCTGATCTCCTTCACCTACGTCACCCTTTTTTGAAACCGCTTATTTTGCCAGAGCCTCTGCTCTTCTGGTTCTAATACTAACAGGTTGTATTAAAAAATAATACTCTTGGGGCGCCTGGGTGGCTCAGTCGTTAAGCATCTGCCTTCGGCTCAGGTCATGGTCCCAGGGTCCTGGGATCGAGCCCCGCATCGGGCTCCCTGTTCAGCGGGGAGCCTGCTTCTCCCTCTCCCACTCCTGCTTGCGTTCCCTCTTTTGCTGTCTCTGTCAAATAAAATCTTAAAAAAAAAAAAAAAAGGATCAGAGGTTGCTGTTAACTCCGAGTGAACATCGTTACCGCTCATGGAGGGAGGGGGCAGAAAGGACTGGAGAAATTCGGTGCTACTCCACATGCTACAGTCCTGCATCTCGTTTTTCTCTGATTATGAACAGAAAAGGAAACTGAAGTGGAGCATGTGTTTAAAAAATGTTTCCTTACCACAGTGAGGCTGTTTCCTGACAGGATTTCTCTCTGGTTAAGAAAAAGGCTCATGAGAACCATCCAGAGGTCGGCAGCACGGTTTTCAGTGTCAGGTATCTGTTGGCCCTGTGACATGGCTCCTAAACCGCGGTGACCCCTGCAGGCATCCTCAGGGTCATGGCACGGATCCAGTCACAGACGCTGAGCCTGGGGTCGGTCTCGCGGGCAGTGGAGAGCTGGGCCGTGTGTCACCCACGGTGGCTGCCACTTGGACCTTGCTGAGCGTGTGTCCGCCGTCCCCAGGGGGAGGGCCCTGGGCCCATTCCAGCCAGCTCGCCTTTGCTTTGCAAGTGATGGAGCAAGACTGTCCCTTTCCTCCCCGTTTCTCATTGGAGCAAGGGAAAGGAATATTACGGAGGAAAGTTTTTCTGCGTCTGGTGCAGCATCCCAGGTGTGTTCTGAGGCGCGTCAGAGTGTCGGAATGGCTTTATCAGATGCTTGAGGAGCTGCTCCCCACTCAGCACGCTGTCCTGGCCTTGTCTCCTGGAGTGTGCTGTGGGTGGCCACTTAGAACTTACCAATATTTACTAACATAAAAACATCTGAATACCCAAAGGATATAAAAAAATTACAGCTTTTTTTTTTTTTTTAAAGATTTTATTTATTTATTTGAGAGAGAAAGAGAGAGAGCACATGAGAGGGGGGAGCATCAGAGGGAGAAGCAGACTCCCTGCTGAGCGGGGAGCCCAATGCGGGACTCGATCCTGGGACTCCAGGATCATGACCTGAGCCGAAGGCAGTCGCTCAACCAACTGAGCCACCCAGGCGCCCAAAAATTACAGCTTTTGATGGCCGTCCGTTGGTTTTATTTGGCCCTTGCTGGCGGGCAGCTTGAACCGGCCTTTATGTATCCTGTGCAAAGAGCCTGTGCTGATTTGTGCTGGTCTCTTCTAGCACTTTCTAACCTGCAGGAGATGTGATTTCGACCTGACTTAGACCCCGCGAGAATAAAATTTCTTTGTAGATGTGTTTTATACGGAAACCATAGCAGTGGTGCTAGGCTGGACCCGTGCCTGGGCCTCCTGGAGGGTTTGGCTGACGCAGGGTGGGTCTAGCAAACCGGCACCCCTTCCCCTCAGGTGACTCCAAGACCGGCCACCGTGGCGAGCACTGCTGAAGAGCAGTCCTTTAACGGCATGCTAGAGTTAGGCACCTCGGGATGCCTTTCCATGTCCTTTCCATGGTCCCTACGGGGATCTTTGCTCACAGCCGTGCCCCCCACTGAAGATGGAAATCCTGCTTCCAGAATTAGCCTTAGCCCCAGTGTGAGACCCCCCACCCCCCTGACTTGGTCTCAAAAGACTTTATCAAGGGAGCCTGTCTGCTCTGCATAAAGGATTTGGGGCATTTGTTGCTTGACCTACACAGCTTTTCCCCCCTTCTACATTATGTGATCCATCTTATTTGCTGGACCTGGCCTCAAGTGACTGGCTTTTGGGGGTGGGGAAGGATCTCTGCTTCAGTCAGCAGATCCTTCCTGAGTGATCCCTGCTAGGTGCTTGGCACACCAAGATCCTGCTGATGTTAGTATTCCGGTGGGGAAGACTGTGAGCAGGGAGGCAGACTTCCCACTCGCAGATTGCAGCCGGTGGCTGCGAAGACATGGGTGCTGGGGCCCCACCGTGAGAAGGAGCCTGTGGGAAGAGCAGACCTGAGCTCCAGAGGCGGTGCATGAAAAGGCTGGGGGTGCTCTCGGAAGTTCCCGCGGCAGGCAGGTGGGGACCCAGCGATGGGGGCGTGCTAAGGTCCGTTCCATTTATGACGACTGAGTTTATGTGACCGTAGAAGTGCTCCTCTTCCTGTCAGTGCTCTGGGTCTAACTCAGGGCCTGGCAGATAAGAGTTGCCCAGGAAATGTTTATTGAACAAAGACTTAAGATTGAGTCAGAATGCTGGAGTGCAGGGAGCCGGGGTGCCTGACTGTGGCCTTGAACACCTGCCCCTTCTCAGCCGTCAGATGAGACCGGCGTGCGGGGGAGGGGGGTTGTAGAGAAACTCCTCAGCAGTTTGATTTATAATTAAACTTTAAATTTTGAGGTAGTTGTAGATTCACAAGCGGTTGTAAGAAACAAGAGAGATCCTGTGTGTCACTCCCTCCCCCACCGCGGGAACCCCTTGTGGAATTCTGCCCCACTCTCACAGCCGTGGCGTTGACCCCGGTCGGGATAGGGGAGAGCGGAGCCTCCAGTCCCCAGGAGCCTCCTTCCTGAGGCCCTTCCCCAACCACTCACCTGTCTCCATTTCTGTGATCGTCATTTCAGAAGTGTGTACACTGGATCCTCGAGCGTGTGACCCTTGGGCTGGCTTTTTTCACTCAGCATAATTTCCTGGAGTCTCGTCCAAGTTGCCACGTGTGTCAGACTTTGTTCCTTTTTAGACTGAGCAGTGTTCGTGGCGTGGATGCGGCGCACATGGGTCAGCCGTCCACAGACGAGGACGGCTGCGTGGCTTCGGGGTTTTGGCTGTTGCGAATAAAGCCGTGTCAGACGTTCACGTACGGGGTTTGGTGGGAACAGGAGTTTTCGTTTCCCCTGAGGTGAAGGCCCAGGAGTACAATTTCTGGGTCGCATGGAAGTTGCATGTTTCGTTTTAAAAGAAATTGCTGAGCTGTGCTCCTGAGTGGACTATACAAAGGTTTATGTTTGTTTGTTTGTTCTTTCAAATGGCTTAACAATAGAAGGAAAGCCTCTTGTGCAGGAGCTCGGGATACAGCACACAGGGCGGGGGGCTCTTCCGGAACTCTGTGCTGCCAGGAACCCCGTTTACACGAGGGCCCCAAATTCTCCCTGCTGGCTAAAAGCAGCAAGAGAGGAGAGAGTATTTTTGCTGCTCTAATTTTGTAGTGTTGAGCTAGAGGCTCAATTTTCTATCTTAATTTAAATTCTTAATTTAAATTCCATTTTAAGGCGAGCCTAATCTTTAGGGCCCTGGGCCCAGGTCCTGGGTGTGGAAGGTACAGACCACGTGGCTGCTGCAGGGAGGCCCCCCCCCCCCCGCCACCGCCCCGGGGCCGGAGCTGCTGCCGTGTTCTCTCACGTCACTAGGGCGCGCGTGTGAGTGGGTGCCTGGGTGCCGGCTGCGCTGGGGGCTGGGCGGGCACCCTGGGTGGGCTTGGCCAGAAGTAGAGGCACACAGCAGGAAATCTGCACCCAGACTCTCAAGAGGAAGGAAGTCATGGCGAAAATAGCCTGGGTGGGGGGCGCCTGGGTGGCTCAGCCGTTAAGCGTCTGCCTTCAGCTCAGGTCATGGTCCCAGGGTCCTGGGATCGAGCCCCGCATCGGGCTCCCTGCTCCACGGGAAGCCTGCTTCTCCCTCTCCCACTCCCCCTGCTTGTGTTCCTTCTCTTGCTGTGTCTCTCTGTCAAATAAATAAATCTTTAAAAAAAAAACCAGCCTGGGTGGGCTGGCAGCATGAGATAACTGGCGTTGGGTCGCAGGAAAGCTGCGAGAAAACAGCACAACGGGGCAGGACCGTGCACTGTGAAACTTCAGGTCCACACAGTGAGGTTGCTGCGGGCAGGCCATGGTGGCGGAGTCCTGTCACTAGCCAGTGCGGATGGTGTCCCATGTATTTGGGGTTTTCTTTAAACATAGTTTTGCTAAGTTTTACTACAAATTCTTTGCCTTGTTTTCAGACCCTAACATTTCCCCCTCACTCTTGTGGTCCTGGGCGCCGGGCCTTCTCCCTCCCAAATAATGCCTGGCGGGCAGATCAGCCCCCTGGCCCCAGCTTTGGGTCTGGAGCTGGGAGGACCCCCGCCTTGCCCTCAGCCAGAGGAGGAGCAGGAGGTGGGCGTGGGAGAGCGAGCAGGGTCACTGTAAACGGAATTCGTTCCCAGGGGGTGTCAGGCTTTTGTGTTTGATCTCTAAGCCTGATGATTGAGCCTGAATTGACACCATGCCAGCTGGTTCTCTGCTGTTAAAAGTGATTCTTTAACTTCCTGTGGAGCAGCAGAAACTGGTTTTGAACAAATCTAGCCCTAAATCTTTACAGCTGTTGGACCTGCAAGCACAGTGGAGGAATAAGGGATCCCAGCCACAGCGCGGCTAGCGAAGCAAAGAGCCTTGACAAGTCACAAGACAAAGCCTGGCTGCAAATCGTTGGAAAGGAAGTGGCTTTGCTCTTTAAGAACAGGGAGCTATGTCCAAACTACAAACCCAGAGGGGCTGGAGTCTGGGCCGGGAGTGGCCTGCATATGGTCTCAGCTGGGGACCAGCCCAACGACGACGGAAGCAGATGCTGGGGCTCCCGGGGGTGGGGCTCAGGAACCTCGGGGTACTGGTCTGCGAACTAACACTCGCTGGTTCTCATCCTGTGTTCCTTACAGACGCAGAATGTTCAGCTCAACAAAGAAATGACACTTGCCAGCAATCGGAGCCTGGCAGAAGGAAACCTTCTGTACCAGCCCCAACTGGATGCCCTGAAAGCACGTTTGACCCAAAAATACCAGGAACTCCAGGTTCTCTTTGAAGCCTATCAGATAAAGAAGACCAAATTAGGTAACTTTTCCAGAGTGATCTTCCAGAATAAAGAGTTGAGGGAAGGACACATTTTCAAGCTGTTGGGCTACCAGGAGAGAAGTAGTAGTATGGAAAAATTTCAGATTGAGACACTGGTTAGGGCCACAAAGAAAAAGTTTATATACGGAGTCATTCCACCTATTTAGAAAAGAGACTTAGCCACTTTTTAAACAAAATTTCACCTTCTCCAGACAACCTAGAAAAGTAATTTTCTGAATCATGGTATTTAACAAATGTCTCCTCCTGTGCGTTAGGCCCTCAGAGTTAGTGCTGAGAAATAGTCCTCATGGGGACATTTCATCTTAACATCACACTTAGATTTATGGTCATTATGAAGAGCTGTAGGAACTGAGCATGGAGTCCTGAGTGCTCTGCGCGGCTTTCGAGGGGGCTCCGGTGAAGAAAAGGTTAGGAGCCCCGCCCTTCAGTGAGGTCCGATACCAGGACTCCCTCAGCGTCTGCGTCACTGCAGTAAAAGCTCAGGAAGGCAGGCCCCGCCTGAGGAGCTCTTTCCTGCTGGGAGGATGTACCTTGTAATGTAAATTGGTAAAAATCAGCCTGGGAAAAGTTGTTTGGCAAAACCTACCTGAAGGAAACCTGTGCTGACTGAGTCAGCCAGTCCGCCCCTGGGTGTGCCCCTGGCAGAGATGGACGCTCGTGGCTGTCCATGGACAGGCCCAAGAATGTTCACGTAGCTTTGTTTGTAATAGCAGAGTTTGGAAACCACCTAAATGTCCGTGTACAGAATGCTGGGTCCGTGAGTTCTGGTCTCTACACAGTGGACATTGAAGGAAACCGGGATCTCAGATCCACGGTGTGGGCTGGAAGGAGGCAGCACAGAGCACGCCCTGGGTGATGCGCTCCCATGAAGTTCTCAGCCAGGCAGGACTTGGGCATCGGGGCCAGTCCCTGGGAGCGGGCCTGGCGAGCCTTTGCGAATGTTCTGTATCCTGATCTGGGTGGTGGTGGTTGGGGTTTATACACTCGTGAAAATTGAGGTCCTAGACTTAAATGACATCTACTTGATGTAAGTTATACAAAGGAAATCTGCATGGGGTGGTTCATGTTACATTGTGTGTTGGGTGACAGCCCTCTGTAGGGCCAACGGTGACATGGGGTGTGGGACGCATGGTGTGGCCCCGAGTTTGTCCCCTGTTTTGTCCTTTGTGCTCCTTCCTCTCTTGGATTTTAAGGCCTTGACTTTTCAGCTCCCTAGAAAGCTGTTACCCTTCCAGTTAAGGTGCGCTCTTCTTTGAAAGGAGGATGGCACGGAGCCTGGGGGAGCATGTTGTTCTGAGGGGCTGGGGCCCGGATGCCCCCTTCTCTCATCATGCCCCTTGCTTCTTCCAGACAAGCAGTCTAGCAGCGCTTCCTTGGAGACCCTGCTGGCGCTCCTGCAGGCAGAAGGGGCCAAGATTGAGGAAGACACCGAGGTAAAGCCAGCCGGTGTGGGTGCGGTGCCCCAGGGCACAGATGCCAGGGTCTGGGCCACTTTGGGAGCCAGTGGGCCAGTTCCTCCGCGGCCAGGAGGCTGTAGTGGATCTGGTGCTCCAGCGAGCGGTGCGCACTGTACTGCGAGTCCACGCTGGTCCCAGGGCTTCAGCGGCCGACGCACCCTCGGCTCTGAATCCGCGGGCGGGGCAGAGCCTTTGAGATGCAGCTCGCTGAGCGCTTGAGGTTTGAGCCGCACTAAGCAATAAGGCCCTGAGTCCGGGTCAAAAGTTGCACAGTTGTAGCAAGCTGGGGTGGGCGGCACGTTGCCAAGTTAGGCCGGGTGGTCGGGGTCAGCCCTGGGCTTGGGTGGCTCCCTGGTGGGGCACGAGCCTGTCTCTGTCCTACGGACTCTGTACGGTGGAAGGAAGGAAACGGACTAGGGCTGGTGGGAAGTGGGTCAGGTGGTTTCCTCTGGGCCTCGAAGCTCAGTAGCTCAGGACTGCCGAGAGGCCCGCTTCCTCAAGGGCTGGCTCCCCCTCAGGCCTGCTGCCTTGTGCAGCTTGTGGGGGTGCGGCGGGCGGTCAGGACCAGCTACCTCTTTCCCCTTCTCTCTGCGGGGGGGCTGCTCTGAGGTCAGCCAGGGTCTGCAGTGGGGAGCGGGGGACGGGGGACGGAAGGAAGCTGGGTGTCATCTCTCACTGGGTGGTGAAGGGAGCTTCTTTCCCTAAGGGCTGACCTGTCCCTGTAACCGGCTTTCTCCTGCTGCTTTCAGAACATGGCAGAGAAGTTTCTTGATGGAGAGCTTCCTCTGGACTCCTTCATCGAGGTCTATCAGAGCCAGCGGAAACTGGCCCACACTCGAAGAGTTAAAATCGAGAAGCTCCAGGAGCTGGTGCTGAAGGGGCAGAGACTTCCACAGGCTTCTGTGCTGGCCCCACTGCTGCCCAGGGTGCCCGAGCCGGCGCCCGCTGCCCCCCTGCCCTACCCTACCTCGGAGGCCAGCGGGCCTCCCTCCATGCTACCTCGGCGCATCCCCCCGCCACCGCCCCCGGTGCCTGCAGGACGCTTGGCCACGCCATTTACCACCGCCATGGGCTCAGGACAGGCCCTCCCGTACCCAGGGTCACAGTGCCCTCCCCTGCCCCCCCGCGTGGGCCTGCCCCCCCCGCAAGGATTCGCCGCGCAGTTCGTGTCTCCGTACCCGCCCGCTCTCCCCCAGAGACCCCCGCCCCGGCTGCCTCCACACCAGCCAGGCTTCATCCTCCAGTGAGCCTCCCCCGTCCTTCCTGGGAGGCTGCACCTGCCGGCCGGGGCTCTGCACACACAGGCTGCGAGGACCAGGGGGCCGGTGCCCTGGGCCAGCACGTCCATTTGATTTTAGAGCTGTAGGTCAGCGGTAAGTAGCCGTAGGCCCCCGGTTTTGTACCCAGGAGGTTGTGTGTGCAAGGCCTCGGCCTGGCATCCCCACGGTCGCATTGGTTGGTTTTCGGTATGATTTTTTAAGTCTTGTAATGTTGATGGACTCCTGAGTCTGGGGGAAAAGCGTCCCTCCCTCCCCACTTGGAATTGTGGTCCTCCCATTGCAACTTTATTTAATGAGCATGCTCCATCATTTCTGCTTTGTTTGCAAAAGTCCAGGCCGTGCGGCCTCGCCCGCCGTGCGGCCTCGCCCGCCGCGCGCCACAGTCCCTGGTCAGGGTGGGTCAGGTGGGCTGGCCTGGAAGGTGCTTACTGAATCTGGGGCCGGGGGTTGCCAGTCCCCCTTCCCCCCAAACCTGGATGCTTCAAAGCCCCGTGCAGCGTTTGCACTAGGCCCACGGCCAGGTCCAGAGGCTGGGTGAATTGCAGCCAGGCCGGAGGAGGTGGGTCTGAGCTGGGCCTTGCGCAGCGATGCCCTCCACTCTTCTCTCCCGCCGCGGGCCAGCCCCTGACGGTTTCTACAAAGAAATACGCCCCCCCCCCAATATTTTTACTACGTAATTTTCCTATTTTATATTGGCAAAGGAAACTTTTTGGACACAAGACCATTCAGGGAAACTTTATAAAAATGCAAATATTGTTTTGAGCAGATTGAAGTACGGAAGTGAATGCCATTTCCTTTTTTACAAGCAGTGTATGGCCACACCTGTGGGTGCCTGTGCTGTGCCTTAGTTTCCCCTGGTGCCAGGGAGGGGCCGGCCCCGGCTCCCCTGCAGGCCCCCAGGCTGGGCAGGCAGAGGGGTAGCTCCTGTAAGCGGCTTTATGTTCCCAGGGGGGCTTGTTCGTTGTGTTACCAGCGGAAGCAGCCTGTCCCCCGCCCCCCCGTGGACCAAGATCCTTGTAGCCAGTCTTCTCTTCTGCTGGGGCCTCCAGGCAGGAGGGGGACGAGGGACTCGAGCAGCATCTCAGCTGGGGCCGGAGCCAGCCAGCACCAGGATCCTCAGAGGGTGCCAACGAACTCGGACGCACTGGCCACACCCCCGGCTTTTCCTGGCCCTTTAGGGTTGCACCGGCCCAGGTGACAGTTGAGACAGAGCACGCAGGGGGTCGGTCCCAGCAGGCCAGGGCCGAGGCCACCATGCTTTGTCTTCAGCTGCCCTGGGCGTGAACACCCCTGTACCATCACGGTTTGTAGCGCTGGGGGGGGACGGTTTACTGCCCTGCCACTCAGAGTTCTGGGAAGCTTGAGATTGGTGCTCCCGCCATCCCTCCACCACCCGCCCCGAGGTCGGGGGATGCCCACAACCTGTGCCGGGTGTAGCCAAATGCGTGAGCTCAGTGTGGATGTGGGGAAGGGGCTGCCAGGCTGGCCTCGTCTCTCTCCAGGGCCATGCCTGAGCCGGGGCTGTAAAGCTGGAGGACCCTTTTTAATAAATAGAGAATTAACGATGGTCCTGTCATTTCTGTACCTGGGGATGTTCATGGCGTGTTTGGTTCTAGATGCTCAGTGATCAGAGTTCCAAGAGGGAAGCGGACTTGTGTCTGTCGCAGTTGAGAAGCCACCCAAGATGGCTGAGGTGTCTGCCTTGACCGGGGCCCCTGGCACTGATGGACCCTTTTGTGCTGCTTCCCAGATTCTCCTGGCCAGGAGTAAAGGGCAGAAAGGTGGGAGAGCGTGTCCCCAGGGTTGCAGCTGCCCCCCGACCCCCCCCCCCCCACTCCCCGGCCTCGGGTTCAGTCTCTCTGGCTCTGTCCTCCGGGGCACCAGCATGGACTGCACTGCTGAGGGAAACGCAGCCCCTTGTCTGTTTCGAGTAATGACAGAACGGAGTGGTAACCTTTTGTTCTGGAGCCGAGACAACCCCCTCCCCGCCTAACGGTCCCAGGTGGAGTTGGGTGCTGGGAGAGGGACCTGCCAGGGCTGCACCCCAGGAGGGACTTTGCTCACTGCGTTGGCCAGAACAGGAGCGCCAAGACCAGGCCCGCGTGAGCCTCCAGCTGGGCGGCCAGTGGTGCCCGTCCCCGCACAGGGCGGACGTGCCAGGGACACGGCTGGGGTGGTCCTGGGAGGAAGAGGCAGGCTTCTCCCGAGAAACCCGTTTGCTTTTTTGAGAATGTGTGTCTGATAGTTGGCTCTTTCCCCAGGGGCTGCTTGGGAAGCTTCCGGCCGAATCTGTAGCCTCCCGTGGGGGCGCCTGGTAGGGCTGTGCTTTGGCGGCGTCTCAGCAGCCCAGCCTTGTCCGAGCCTCGCCTCCCCCCAAGCCCCTGTGCTTGGGAGCAGGTCAGGGGGGCGCGGTGGGGGGGGGGCGCGCAGAGCTCAGACTTGAGCTCAAAAGGTTTGCTCGTGGACGACTTAACGTCAGTCGGGCTAACCTTGCTCTGGATCGGCTGTAGTCCGTGCAGGGCAGTTTCCACTGGTTTGTATTTGGTGGAGCCGAGCATCTGCTTTTAACGTCTTTTCTGCAGCCGTTTTCCCTTACAAATGAGAACCAGACACCGGTTCCATTTGACAACCCCACCCACGCTTCCCAACCAGCCTGGAGCGAGTGAGGCAGGGGCCCGTTTCACCCGTTGGGAAAGCCGGGCTCAGGGCGTGGGACTCTCGTCTGAGGCCGCGTGTCTTTCTCGGACCTGCACCGGGTCTGTTTCCACAAATGTCGGTGACCTGCGGGGGAGGGGGGCACGCAAGGCAAGCCTGGCCGGGCGCCGTCTGCACCCCCGGGCGAGGCGGGGGCCTGCGCAGTCAGAGGCCGGTCAGGTTCAGCGGAGGGAGGCTGGGCGTGGCCGCGCCGTCAAGTCCCACCAGCGAGGGGTCCGGGTCGCCACCACTGAGCCCCACCAGGGGCCACTCCGTGGTCACTCCTCCCCTTCCCAAAGCAGTGTGGTTTCTGAGCGGGCTGGGGGAGCGGGGACAGGACCCCAGAGGGCTTGGGCAGAGTGCGGGGGCCAGGGTGGGAAGCCCCGAGCCATGACTCACCACACCGGCGTCCGTCCCAGGGCCTCAAGTCCCAAAGCTCCCAGGACACAGGCCAGGGCACTTCGCGGCAGAAGCAGCTCTAGCCAGCGCTTCTGTGGGTCCAAGCGCTCAGTCCCCTGCAGAAGCTAAGTGGTCCCCTACCCCGTGTCACACATCCCGGCCCCGGAGAAATGAACAGCCCAGGCGCGGCCCCTCTGGCAACAGTCCAAGTGCATTTTATTGCCAATCTGACTCTTCCAACAAGGTAATACTAAGGGCAAAGCAGAAGAGCTGGTCCTTTTACTCCTCTCCAGACCGGGATGGGACCGGACCATTGTGGGATGGGGAAGTTCACGGGGCCCAAGCTGCTTGTCCTTTCCTCCCCACGCCTCCCTGGCGTCGGGCTGGGGACTCCAGGAACACAGGTTCTTGCAAATCCTCCAAATGGGGCCAGGCAGGCCAAGGGGGGAGTGGGGCTGCCGGGTGGCCCCCTCCCTGGGGGGGGCACAAGGTGCCCTGGGCCTGGCGGAGGGCAGGGTGGGGTGGAGAGGGGGTGGGCGATGGGAAACATGCGCAACAGGGCCTCCAGGGCAGAAACAGTGAGCAGGGGCAGGAAAACCAGGAAACAGGAGGGTCGCCCCAGATGGGAGCAGAGAGAGACTCTGGGAAGGACAGCAGGCCAGCACCTGTGCCCACCAGCTGGGGGCTCTGGCCGCTGCCCCCAGACTCAGGGCACATCCTCTGTGCTCCCCTCACCGAGGCCTCAGAGGGAGGCCCAAGGAGCCTGGGCAGTACCCCGGCCCGCTCTAGAGCGGTCTGCTTTGCCTGAGACCAGCCCGGGCCCGTCTCCATGGAATCCGTGCCCCAAGAAGGCTACAACTAGGTGACATCTTGCCTATGACCCTGGCAGCCAGCAAGGACTGGTTTTTCAGACCTTGAGTTCAAAAGGCAGGGAGGTCCTGCCCAAACACCCTCTCCAGGGGCCCTGCTTCCCAGGGTGAATCCAAACTCATGAAGGAAAGCTCTAACTCAGATTACAAAAGTTCCATATATTTCCTGAAGGCCTGTGGGTCAGGCCTGCTACGTTCTGGCTGCTCTCACCAGTGCCCGTTGCAGATAGACTCATGTCCAGGAGAACCGCCCCGATCCCTGATCCTTTGGGTTCAGCCAGAGCTGGGGGCCTCGGGGACACCGACCCTGGCCGTGGGGCTGGGGGCTGCACCCCTTGGAGGCTCCTGAGCCAAGTCGGGGCAGCCACACAAGGCCCAGGCCTGCTCACTAGCCTCCCCAGCAGACGCTCCAGGAGCCTAGTAGTTGACGAGTTGAGCTGAGTAGACGCCATCCTTTTTGTCAAGCTGCAGGAGGCAAAGGGGAGGGGCTCAGGGGACGTGGCCAGGCCCCCAGACACCCTACTTGGCTCCCTGCATCCTTCCCTGGAGCCAGCCTCCCCACCGTCCTCCCCCTGTTGCTGCCAGTCAGAGGTTCCCGACTTTCCCAAGGCCCTATGCCCTGCCCACTGGGGTGCAGGGACAGGACCCCTCTGGCCCCAGCACTGACGCCTGGCACCTGGTGGTCCTGCCGGGGGGCCACACTGGGCTTCTGGGCCAGAGGTGGCTTCTTGGAGGCCCCGCTGCGGGCGGCAGCGCGTGGTCGGCCAAGATCCTCCACACCGGGCGTCCCCATGGCCCCAGCCAGCATGTAGTGTTGCCTCCGCAGCATCCCCAGCCGCACGCGCTCGGCCTCCAGCGTCTTCTCCAGCTCCAGGACGCGGACCTGCAGCCCCGCATGCCACTCAGGATGGCCCCGTGACCTGGGCCGCCCACCCGCCCAGAGCTCGGCCCTCGAAGAGGAGCTGGTGCTCACCTGGGTCTCCATCTCCTCCTTCTTCAGCTTGATGAGGGACAGGCCCGAGAAGTCCATGGTGTCTGTGGCCAGAGCAGGGGGGCGGTGAGCGTCCGTGTGCCTGCCCCCACCCCAGGGGCTAGCAGGGCCCACACTCACCTCGTTCTTCGATCTGCTCCTGGCCGGACTGGGTGGAGGCCACCACGTTGGCGGCCATCTCGTTGACGCTGCGGGAGCACTCCTGGAGCCGGCTCAGGTGGGGGCTGCGCTTGTCCGCCTTCACCTGGGGCAGCGCGGGGCGGGTCAGGCTCAGCTCCCGCCGCACGGGGCCCATCGGCCACGGCCCAGAGCGGAGGCTGCGGCGAGAGGCCGCCACGCACCGAGCCTCACCTTGGAGGCCGCCACGAGCTGGGCCGTGCTGGCTGCGATCTCGTGGGAGCAGACGATGAGCTCCTCGTACTTGCCCGTGTGCAGCACCACCCTGTCCGCCGACTCCCTGCGCACAGAGCCGGGCAGGGCCTGGGTCTCCGACCCCGTGGACCCCGGGCCACCCCACGCTCCCTCCCCAGGCCCCGAGCACCACACGCCCTGCTGCCCCCCACCTGGGGCGACATACACCAGCTGCGTGGCTCCCCAGCCCACGGCCTTGGAGGCGGAGATGAGGCCTTCAGTCCACCTAGAGTTCTTGGCATAAAACTCCTGCTGCGTGGCTGCCCCCTAGTGGCAACAGGAAGGCAGGGCGGGGGGACCAGTCAGTGATGTCACAGGTGGGGTCCCTCTGCCTTCACCTCCGCCACGAGGGGACATCCAGGGGCTGGGGGGATGCAGGTGTGAATCCTGGGCACGTTCTGCGCATTCTGGGGGGGGGGGCTCATCACTGCACAGGGCAGGTAGCTCTTGCCCAGAGAGGCCCTGAGATCCACCAAAGCCAAGGGGGTTGTGGTCTGGGATGAAGAGGGCTGGGAGGTCACACGCCTCTCAGGAGCCCGGCCCTCGCTGGCCCGGCGGTGTGGCCCAGCCTGGGACGCCCGGTCAGACCAGTGGGTGGCCCCACTCACCCTGCCGCTCTCCACGATTTCCTTCTGTAGGCTGGTGGATGTTGTCACCAAGAGCCGGATGGCCTGCCAAGACCAGAACACAGGTCACTCTTGGGCTGTCCTTCCCAGGTGCATGGTCCAGCCTAGGGTCCCAGCCACTCACCTTCATCAGATCTGTGCAGGAATTGAGGATCCTGAGGGGAGCAGATGGTGGGGGAGAGAGAAGAATCTTCAATGTGGCCCCAGGGAATCTGCCCTCTGGTGAACGACTACTACTGGGCCTGGGGTGCTCAGTGGGGGGTGCCGGGAGGGGGTGCCTACTTGTTTCCAGGCCCTGCTGGAGAGCTAAGCAGGCAGGACAGCACACCCTGGACTCTGGGGCACTAGGGGGGCCATGAGCGGGGCTCACCTTTCATTCACCTCCAGCTTCACCCCAGAGCTGGCATGGCGGGCCTTGTTCATCATGTCCTACACCAGTGACAAAGCTGTGAGCAGGCTGGGAGGAGAGCAGTGTGGGAGGAAGGGGGGTGCAGAGCTGGACCAGCCCCCCCCCCCAAAAAAAAACAGCCACTGAGCCAGGGAGGAGAGGGGAAGAGGCTGGGGGGGGGGGGGCAGGGTGCGGCCAAGGCAGAAAAACCAGGGCCACCTCCCCACCCTCCCAGCTGTGAGCTGCAGAGGCCGCCTACCCCCTGTGCAGGAGCGAGGGGTGCAGAGGTGGGCGGAGCCTGCATTCAGCCCAGCTCAGCCCCCAGGGCTCCTGCAGGACCTAAAAGAGCCCCTGCACCCCACGCGTCACCTCGATCCTCCGCACAGCATCTTCGATGGCTGCAGATGTGGCCGCCATCTCCTTGTCCACCATGGCCCCAAGCTCCTCCTGATGCACATCCAGGCTCTTGGGCTTCAGCTCCTGGGGCAGAGGGCATGGGGGAGATGGGCGGACTCCCCCCGGGAGTCTGGGAGAGGCTGGGGCAGCAGCACTTGGGGGGGGGGGGGCGCCGTCCCCGCCCTGTGTCCTCCAGCTGCTGGCTCTGCACACGAGCCCCCATTCAGCCCAAGCTAAAGGGAGGTGCAGGGAAATTGAGGACCCGAGCCTCAGCCCGGTGTCATCACCCCTCCAGACCCCAGCCCACGCTCCGTGCCATGGCTGCGTCCCTCACCTGGCCCAGCTGCAGGATGCCCTGCAGGGGGGTCCGCACCAGGCTGGGCTGGGCCTGGGGCAGAGTCTGCTGTTCTTGCAGCTGCCCCATGAGCTCCAGAGCGCGAGCCCCACACTCCCTGCAGCTGTCGACCAGGCCTGGGGGGAGAGGTCCGTCAGGGGGCTGGCACTGGGGAGCCCTGGAAGCGGCCCCACCGTGAGTCTGGCGCCAGGACCCGTGTGCAGGCCCCGACCTTCCGGGGGGTCCACTGTGGGCGCCGTGGGTGAGTCAAACCTGGGGCCCACTTACGGTCCGCGGGGTCGGTAGGGGCCAGATGGGAGGTGGCACCGCCGTTGACAATGGTGTCTGCAGCCAGGTAGGAGAACTGGGTCAGGGCTGCCACCAGCGCGGAGGCGTCTGTAGGAAGGAGCAACAGAACCTTAAAACCACTGCCGCAGAGCAAGGACCGGGGCCTACAGCGGGCTGCTCGAGTCTTCTGACCCAAAGCCCAGTGAGCACCAGAGCCCCCGTTTATGGATGACAAGAGGCAGGCTCGCAACGGCCAAGGATCAAGCGGCTGGACGGCAGCCACGTCTGAGTGACCCCAGGCCCACAGAGTGGGCAGGACTGGGCTCCTGGTGGGTGTGGTGGGGGGCACGGCCTCCCCAGTGGCAGGGGGCAGCCATGGCCAGCCTGCCGCCACACTTACCTGACCTGGAGACCAGGTACTGGGCATGGCCCTTCTCCAGGGCGCTCACGGCGTCCAGGGCGGCCTGGGCCCTGCTCACCAGGTAGTCTGCAAGCAGGGGAGAAGTGGTGAGGGGCGGAGCCTGCCTGGGACCCCATCGCCCTGCCGCGGGGTCTCTCAGGGTGGGCTGAGCACCCTACCAGGCGAGGAGGAAAGGAAAGGCCCAGACAACCCGAGTGCCCGCGCTGCGGCCCCCACCTGGGGAGCTGGTGCAGCGCAGGTGCAGGGGGTCGTCGAGCTTGGCCACGGCGTCCTGCAGGATGCGCTCGGCCTCGGCGGCCGTGCCCCGCAGCACCTCGAACTGCTGGTCCAGGAGCCTCCGCCGGAGCTCCTGTTCCTGAGACTCCTGGTGCGAGAGGGGAGAGGCAGCTTAGAGGCCCTGCCCCAGGGTGGGCGCCCCCTGGGACCCGCACCGCGGACAGAGGACTGAGGGGGGCCGCCGCTCCGCCCCAGGGCTGGGGCCGCTCCTCCGGGGAGCGGGGCGGGCGGCTCAGCGACAGACACCCCAGTTAAAGAGTAGGCAAAGGATCGGAACAAACCTTTCTCCCAAGATACACAAAAGGCAACAAGCACACAAGATATTCAATATCGTTAACCCTTAGGGAAATGCAAGGCAAAACCACCCGCCTCACACCCGCTGCGGGGGGGTGGGGGGGGCAAAAATAAAAAACCGCAGAGAGCAGCACGCCCGGTCAGGGATGCAGGGATGCCGGGAAAGGGAAACCCGCACACCGTTCCTGGCGGCATCACCAACAGCCAGAAAGTAAAAACAAGCCCAATACGCATGGACGGACGGACGGACTGGCTGCGGTCTGTCCCCGTGGTGGGATATTACTGCGCCCCGACGCACGGACGCGTGTGTCCGTGTGCGTGTCTGGAATGGGTCATTCTAGAGACAGAGCGGGGGGAGCAGCCCGGGGGCCGCGGCTGTTGCAGGCGGGTGGGGACTAACGGCTCAGGGGGTGCAGAGTTTCCTTTCGGAGCGGGAGTATGGGCCGGACGCACAACCGTGTGGACACCGGCCCGCGCCCGCAGTGCCCCCTGAGGGGTCCCGGCCCGGCGTCACCTTGCCGGCTAGCTGCCCCCGCAGCTCGGCCCTCTCCTGGGAGCTGCGCTGCCGCTCGCAGCTCAGCGCCGCCTCCTTCTCGCGCACGAGGCCCTGGGCCGCCAGCAGGTCCGCGTCCCGCCGCTGCACCGCGCTGCTCAGCGCCGCCTTCTCCGCACTCAGCGTGTCCAGCCTCGAGCTCAGCTCCGACCCGCTCTGCGAAGCCCCGGCCCGTGAGCGGGGCTCCCCCCACCCCGGTCCCCACCCACATGCGCGGACAACGCCCGAGGGCCCCGTTCTCCTCCTCGCTCCCCCCGTGCGTGGAGAACGTCCTGCGTCCCCCCGGGCGTGGGTCGGAGCTGCACCCCCCCCCCACTGCCAAGGGCCCCTCGGAGCCAAGCCACGGGGGGAAGGAGGGCCCTAACCCCGTCCCGCTGGCTCCCGCGAGGCGGCCCCGCCAACAGCCGCCGTACCTGCTCGGTGCGGGTCAGCGCCTCCTGCGCGCGCGCCAGCTCTCCGGCCTTGGCCTCCAGCTCCTTCCTGAGCTTCTCCAGCAGGTCACTCTGCTCCTCCAGCTGCGACAGGGCAGCGTGTCACGGGGGACGGGGGATGGGGGCCGGGGAGGGCGCAGGGGGCGGGGCCTGGGCGTGCACGGGACGCACCTTCACCTCCGCCTCCCGTTTCACTTGCTCCATCTGGAAGACCAGCTGCTCCTTCACCCGCGCCACCTCCTCCTGGCTCTGCTGCGTCACCGTCAGCTGCTTGGCCGTGTCCGCGTTCTGCGCGGGCAGGGGACAGACAGACGCCCGCTCCAGCACCGCGGGGGCCGCACGCAGCGCTGCCCGTGACCAGCCCGGCCCGCGCCCCCCTACCTTCCGGAGCAGCTCGGCGTGTGTGCCGATGAGCTCGCTGTGCTTCTCCTTGAGCTTGTGGTAGCGCGCCTCGACGGCGCTGGCCTTCTCTGCAGGGGACAGGAGACGCGGTGGTCCCCGGCGCCGCCCCCGCCCCCCCCCCGCCTCCGCCCCCGCCCGGCGCCGCTCCCGCACTCTCAGCCTCCTCGCGCAGGCCCTGGTTGCGCTCGCCTTCCCGCTGGGCGGCCTGCAGCTGGGCCAGCTCGTGCCGGAGCTGCTCGTTGTCCACCAGCGCCTTCTGCTTCTGCTTGCGCTGCTCCTCCAGCTCTGCCTCCAGCGCATTCACCTGGCCCTTCAGCTGCGACACGTAGCGCTGGGCCTGCGCAGCAGAGGGACGGCGTCGTGGGGCGCTGCCCGCCCGGGGGGAAGGGGGTGCGCCACACAGCCGGGCCCGCGCCCTCACCTCCAGCCTGATCTTCTCCAGCTCCGCGCGGAGCGTCTCCACCTCTCTCTTCAGGGTCTCGATCTGCACGTCCCTGGGGACAGACGGCCTTCAAGTTCCCTGCTGACCACAGCTTGGCCCCCACGGCGGGCAGCGCCCGGGCCCTCACCTATCATCCTTCAAGGAGCCATTGGGGGGTCCAAACGTCTGCTCGAAGAGGTCAGCCACCACCTGCCACACAGACACAGTGACCCACTGCCACCCCCACCCCCGGGGCCTCCAGGCCAGGGGCAGAGGGACGCCCAGTCGCCCTACACCTGATGGGAAGAGGGGGACCTCACCGCTGGCTCCCCAGCCGGGGGCCCCGTGCTGATCTCGATGAGATTCTCCGGCTCCTCATCCTCAGGGGCCTCCTCGGGGATCACCACCACCGGCTTGATGTGTTCAGCCAGTGCCGAGGCCCGCAAGAAGTTGGGAGGTCCCTGGGGTCGGGGTGGGGGGGGGGGCGGTGAGCAATGTGCGGGAGCTGCTCCTGGAGGAAGCCCCCCTCAGTCATCCCCCGAGCCCAGTGGGGCCCCCCCGCCAGGTACCCGGGGTCCTCCGAGCGCCCAGAGAGGGAACAAGGCTGCAGCCCAGGGGGACGATGGGTACCTCGGGCAGCCGGGGGATCTGGATGAGCCGCTTGAAGTAGAGCATGTCCGAGGCTCTGCGGAAGAAGTTTCTGAGGCTGCGGGAGCAGAGGACGGGAGGTCACGGGGGAGCCAGGCCCAGCCAGGCAGCCCCGGCTCACGAGGCCCCAGAGCCTCCTCCCTGACCGGGCCGTACCTGTGAAACTGCTCGTGGAACCGGTCCCTGTGGCCTTGCAGGGTGTCAGCTGGAAGACCTGAGGGAAGGACGTTTGATGGGACGTCCTCTCTGACCCCTGCTCCCGTGCCCACCCTGTTCTGCCACCTTCTAGAAACCGTCAAAGAGGAGAATGAGGGGAGTGAGGGGAGGCCCCAGTGGGGGTTCAGCTCTCAATTTTGAGACGGAATGGGCGCGTGACTTGACCATGGCAAACCTAACCTGGGTTTGCCCGCAGGTGCGCTGCGAAGTCGCTTCTGGACTCGAGCCCGGGTGGAGAGCATTCCAACAGCTCCCAACCCCCTCGGCCAGGGGTTCCCAGAGTGGGATGTGGGGACCAAGACCTCCACAGAGGGCCCACCAGGGCCAATCCCCTTGTGAACACGAAGGGGAGGAGGGGGACACGGGCTCTGTAGGACCTGCTGCGCCAGCCCGAAGGGCATGTAAGGCGCCCCGGCGGCTGAACGCAGACACCCACTGCCCCCTCCGAGGCCGGGCTTTTGGGGGAAGCACCAACACGGAAACCTACGCCCCTCTCCTCGCTAAATCTTCGTGCTGGAAAACAGCAGTTTTCCGTCACAACTACGCTGTTATGTCCATGGGTAATGAATGTGTTACTGCTACATTTAATAGTAAGTATTGGGGCGCCTGGGTGGCTGTCGTTAGGCGTCCGCCTTCAGCTCAGGTCATGATCCCAGGGTCCTGGGATCGAGCCCCGCATCGGGCTCCCCGCTCCGAGGGAAGCCTGCTTCTCCCTCTCCCACTCCCCCTGCTTGTGTTCCCTCTCTCGCTGTGTCTGTCAAATAAAATCTTTAAAAGAAAAAATTAGTTAAGTATTTCTAACACGTCTCGGTTTTCACTTGTGGTGCGGCAGACATCTAGTGACAGAAGCCCCCCGAACACAGCCCTCTGTGGTTCTGGCTGAACCCTGGGGGGCAGGGGGCTCTGGCGGGGGACCCGGGGGGCTTACAGGCGTGCAGCTTGAACATGAGCTTCACGGAATAGTGGTAGAGGTGGCTGCAGTCCTGGATGACCTGGATGAGGGGCGCCAGGCGGCACTGGCCCGAGGACATCTGGGACACAGCAATGGCTGTGTTGAGCTGCCGGAAAACTGCCAACAAAGGTGCAGGGAGGAGCGTGCGCGTGGGGAGCCGCGCAGCCTCGGGGACACACATGGTGGGAATGGTGGCGGAGTGCGGGCCCCACACCGTCACCTCGGGGCATCGTGAAAACCACCCCGGGTCCTTGGACCCCAACACGCTCTCCAATGCTAGGATAGGAGCCCTGGTGCTGTGGCTGCCCCAGACGGAGCCCCAGAGCACCCCCCGCCCCAAACTAGGGCCACAGCAGGGTCGGGCAAATAGAACACAGCTCGGCATGGCCAGCATTTCCCCGACAGCGTCCACACAGCGCGCCCGAGCCCAGGGGATCGGGGGACGGGGGGGGGCTCAGACGGTCCTGTACCCATGGGCCTCAAGCTCACCCTAAAGCTCAGGGAAAGGGGGAGGCTCAAGGCTGTGCGGCCAAGTGCCTCATCGTACGGCCGTGGAGAGAGGGGTCAGCCACATGGCAGCCAGCTCAGGACTCCGTTCTGCAAACCCCAAGTGACCCCAAAACCTCACTTGCACCCGGGGTCAACCTCCCCTGTCCCGGACAGTCAAGCCTTTCATCACATCGGCTGAGCGGGAGGGAAAGGGACAAACACGAGGCTGCCCCCACTGCGATTAGCCTCTTCGTCAGGGCAGAGGGCAGACCACACACGACACAGAGGCCAGGACACTGTTCCAGGACGCCGGGCCCCAAGCCCTGGGGTCCTATGCTCACCTGGCCTAGGGCAGCAGGGATGGGGCGGGGCTGAGGAGGAAGAACCAGCGAAGGACAGTCCTTCACCTTTCTAAACCTTAACGTGTCACATCAAGTACGTGTTCCCGTAAAAACTGAAACACACATAAAATGCTATTTCGGGTTTTATACAAGGCAAAGCCATCCCTTTCTCCACTGAGGGGCACTGGGGACGGTTTCCGGTTAAAACAGCATGGCGGGGAACACCTTGGCACCCTCTCCCCAGGGAGACGCCGGCCTGTGGACATTAGGGCGCCCCTTCTTGCTGCTTCATCAAGACGTCCGTGTCCCCAGGGGCAGGTGCCTGCCTCGGGGTTTTCTCTACCTTCCGTCGTGGGGACGGCCGTGAGAGGCACGGCCCACCTCTGCCGCTCACCGGCTGGCAGCCACGCTCCCCAGCGGGACCTGGGCTCCCCTGGGTGCAGCTCTGAGTCCAGACCCCGCTCTAAGTTCCGATTTTCCCTTAAAAAGGCGTTTGCTACTCATTCTCCTACAAAGAGCCTTGAGTCACCCAACAAGCCGTCCTGAAGCGGCCGCCCAGAACAATCACCTCTGTAGCCCCCCGAGATTTCCTGTCCAGCAGTGGCCAGGTCCCTGGGCCGGGAAGTCCGACATGACTCACAGGCCTTTTAACGGCAGGAAACAGGCAAGATGACCCAAACCAGCTCTCTCCTGGGTGGGCTCTGCAGATGCCCCAGGGGTGCCCGGCTCAGGAACCTGAGGCGACACTGGGCCGTGGACATACCCCCGGGGCCTGACAGCTGCAGGGGCAGTGACCACCTCTCCCCATGTCCTGGGGACTCCTGGGGGCCCCATTACCCACTCCTGGCGGGAGGGGGTGTGGACACCCCGGGGTGCAGTTAACTGGTGGGGCTAACTGGTCATCTGGCTGTGGGCCCTAAGGGATCACACTGGACTCGGGCAGGCCGGGCCCCCTCCTCGGTTGGCTTACCTGATTCAGAAAGCCTCAGCTCACAGTCCATGTAGTCAAACATCTCCACAGTGAGCTGGAAACTATGAAGGGGAAGATGGGGGGCTGAGCGGAGGGGCGGGGGACTTGCCCCATGAGACCCCCCCCCAGGTGGGAAGAGGGAGGAGCTCATCCACACACCTCTGCAGAGGGCAGCCATCCTTCAGCCCAAGATGCCCGATTCCAAATAAACCCCAGGCCTTTGATTCAGCCTCAGCTCCCTCAGGAACTGGACCCCTAGCCCCAGCCACCCACCAATGAGCACCCACATGCGTGGGACTCACATGTTGTTGACGTCGGTCCCAGCGGTCTTCTCTAGCACCTCGTCTGTCACCTCCAGGCCCGCGGGAAACTGGGGGTGCTACAATGAGGACACCCCAACTCAGCTGAGGCCCATGCTGGCCCCAGCCCAGAGCTGGTTCTGGCTTCCGAGGACAGGAGACAAAGCTGAAGAAGTCCCCATCTGCCCTGGGTACTGGCTGAGGGGGGCTGCGGGTGACCAGGGAGACCAGGAAGGGAAGAGGGGATGTCCAGCCAGGGCAGGAGACTGCCCAGAGCCAAGGGCAAGGCGGAGACCACCTCCAGCATTGGCGGGGAATGCCCCAAGGTGCGCAGGCTCTCAAAGTGCCCTGGGCACCCCATGTTTCCCCTCAGGTCAAGATTGGGACATGGGGGACCCCACTGCCCTGCTTCCCAGGACATCTCAGAGATGAAAGCCCAGGGCCCCTCCCTCCAGCCCCACAACTACCGAGGAAGCTACCTTGAGGTGGAAGGAGATTTTGGTCAGCAAGAGTTTGGTGTAAACGTTCACCAGCTGCCCGTAGCGGTCATGCAAATGTCCCTGCGGAGGGAGCCCAGGGTGAGGGCCTGCCGCCCCCGGAATGCACCCAAAACCCTACAGGGCCTGGCCACGCTCTGGGGCAAGAGAGCACGTGGAGGCGGGAAGGTGCAGGTGGCCAGCTGAGTGTCCTTCCTTCCCCTGCCACACGGACGGACGGACGGACGGACGTGCATGCACGAATACCGCTCGGCCTGCCGAAGGACCTCCGCCAACCCTCCTCTTGGTCTCCAGCTCTTTGTTTAATTTTTAAAAATCTTACTCCTAGTCCTTCTTGCCAAAGAAACTCTTGTTGAGAAGAGGGCTCTCTGTCCAGGGCAGCAGGCCAGCTCTGAGCTGGGACAATTCATTAAAATGCTGCTGGCAGCCAGGGAGGCACATTCTGCCGGGGGCATGTACACATCCTCCCAGCTGCCTCCCGGTCACCTCCCCACACCGTGGCCCCTGCGGTCACACCAGCTGGGCCGTGTGCAAACGGCAGCACGGGCACCGTTTTCTTTACCTCGAGGGACATGGTGGGACACGGCCCTTCGTGCCCCGCCCGGGCCTCCCTCTGGTCAGTCCGCCCAGTCCGCCCAGCCCACAAGGCCCCAGCAGTACTCCCAGAGGACAAATGCGGCCTGAGGGCCTCCCCCCAACGCCCCAGTTCCCTGAGGGTCTTGCAGTGGATCTTAGCATGCAAGCTCTTGGGACTTTCAAACTTCACTGTGGAGAAGAATCTTCTGGGGAGTTCTTTGAACCCAGTTTCCAATCCTGAGATTCTAAAGCAGCCAGTCTTTGGCGGGGGGGCACGGAGTCTGCACCTCACACGGGCTGTAACCGCCAGTCACACACCCAGACTCGGGCGTTGCCACGGTTCCCAACCCCTGGGGACTGCAGGGCTGGTGGGGGTCTGGAGCTGGAGGGCCCACTACTTACGTGAAGCTCCCCGAGGCCTTAAAAGCAAGGCCGACATTTCCCTCTTGGTGCTCATCTGCCCCCTCTGCCCCCCGGGAGCACCGTAACTTCTGCTCCAAGGGAAAGGAGGGAAAAGCCCACCTGCGGGGGCACCCATTCGCTCGGCCCCGCGTGCGGGGGGACGGAACCCCAAGCAGGACCGAGGCGGGACTTTCTGGACGGCGCCTGGGCAAGGTGCTTGGCCCGTGCTCGCTCCCCGCACCTACCCACAGATCCCCGATCTCCCGAATGTTGCTCCGATGGCGTTGGCAGTCATGCAGCACCTGCAGCACGAGGTAGACGAGGAGGAGGATGAAGCCAGCCCTGCCCGGGCAGGGCCCCAACACAGGCACGCCCCCCCGCCCCCTCCCGCCCCCATGCTAGCTGGCCTGCCAAGGGCGGGGAGGGACAGGCAGAAGTGGGGACCATCTCTCATTTTGAAGGGACCCTGCTCTGCCTCCCTGGGGTGCCGGCCTGCTCAGGCAGCAGCGGACGGAGGGCCCAGGAGGCCTGCCCCGCCCAGTACCAGCGGACAGCGGCTACTCACATTTGGGTGTCCGTCTCGGAGCACCTTGTGCAGGACGTGGCAGAACTTCCAGCTGAGGATGGAGCTACTGGGAAGTGGCAGACCAATGGCGTAGGACCAGAAGGTGAAGGCGCCCTTCTCATGGTGAGTGCCCAGAATGATGCCTACCAGGGTCAAGGTCAAGTGCAGGAGGCAGAGACTCAAGTGTGGGGAAGGCTGGGGGGGCTCAGCGAGTGCAGCTCAGAGATGCAAGGGGAAGGCTGGGGGGCTCGGTGAGTACAGCTCAGGGATGCAGGGGGAAGGCTGGGGGGCTCGGCGAGTGCAGCTCAGGGATGCAGCGGGAAGGCTGGCCCCTCACCCAAGGCCACCCAGCACCTTCTCCCAACATCCCTCTCCCTCCATGTCTGCCAGAGTTCGCCAAAAGCTATGGTTTTCTGCCAAGGTCAAGAAAATGAGCAAGGTCAAGCCTCAGGAATTTAACCAGGCCCAACAGCCTGAGATGATAAATGGTGTTCCCCAGATGGGATCTAGAATCTGAAAGGAGCAGAGCAAGGACGCCTCCTTAGGCCTCTGTCTCCATAAGGGCAGACTTGACAAAGCTCTGGTGGCCGGCCACCTGCAGCGCCCCCTGCCCTCCAATTCACTTCCCACCAAGTCCATGGTCAGAGACCATGCAAGGCAGACCCACGTCCTCCTCACACTCTCTCCCCCGCTCCCCGCCCCCACCCAGAGGGACAAGGGCCACCTGGAGGCAAGGAAGGATACGCCGGGCATGCTTCTCCTTCACGGGGGCCTCCTGGGTGTTGATGGCTTTGCTGATGCTGATGGCCTGGGAGGGAAAAGAGGAGGCAGAGTTCAGAGACCCACCAGGCAGACTTCCCCAGAAGGCACACAGGACAGATTCTTCCTGCCAGTCAAAGGCAGGTGTAAAGATACAGAGGAAACAGCTATTTTCGCAACCTTAGCGAACCAGAGCAATGAAGATTTTTTTTTAATTTATTTATTTGAGAGAGAGCATGAGCAGGGGGAAGGTGCAGAGGGACAGGGAGAAGCAGGCTCCCCGCCAAGCAGGGAGCCCGACATGGGACTCAATCCCAGGACCCTGGGATCATGACCTGAGCCAAAGGCAGACGCTTAACCAACTGAGTCACCCAGGTGCCCCTGAAGACTTTTCTTTCACTTGATATGTGCAGCCCAAACTGAGCCAATAGCTGATGCCAAAAAGCCACTGGGAGCCTTCAGGGGGCTGGGAAGGAAGGACAGAAGCTGGCTGGTGGCTGCAAGAGGCCACCTCTGGTGGGACACCTGCATGTGTTTAGCTCATCCCGGGAGGTGAGTCCCCCACCCTGGCCCCAGTGTAGCCTCCATCCCGTCTCTCCTGAGCCCTCATGACACTCCATGAAGACATGTGTCACCCCATGGAGAACCAGGACATACCCAGGCCTGTCTGCCAAGCAGGCCACCTCCCTCCTGGGTGAGGACTCAATGCCCACCCTCCCTGAAGCAGAGGGTGATGGTGGCCCGACTGGGGGTGGCGGGAAGCCGGGGGGGGGGGTCCACCTACCATACTCACTGCTGCCACCTGGGCCCTGAGCAAGCAGCCAACTCATTGGTGGCAGAGGTCCTCACCCACCTCCGCCTGCCAGGATCTGGTCTCTTCCCCTCAGCTCAATGCTCTGCAGTCCCCGCCTTCCTGGATGGGGCTGCCCCCTCACCAAAGGTCCCCAGCCCTTACTGCCACCTCTGGCCCTACTCACCCAGGAACGAGCTGGCCCTGGGCTAACATGAGGATGAGTTTTATTTCTCCACCTGTGGGCAAGCAGACAAGCCTCGGTGCACCTGCCTGGTGCGGAGCTGGGACATCAGCGTGTGTGGATGGAGGGGAGCTGTCCATGCCGCTGGTGGGAGGGACGGGCAGGTCCCGGCCAATGCAGACACGACCCCAGCCCAGTCGATACTCCCGTCTCCCACGGGTCCTTCACTGGGGCCCACGCCAGCTTGCCCCCCACCCCAGGCTGTGCTAGGGCCTGTAATGGGTGGAGCAAGGGCTGGGGGTACCATGCACTCCTACCCTGCAGCCCAGAACCTGAGCCTGCAGATCAGTGCCTGGTCAACAGGACACACTTGTACAGTGGCCTGACTCGGGCAAGAATAGGAAGGGGACAGGGCAGAGGGAGCCCCAAGGGGCAGCCCTGGTGCTTGCTTTCCTCTTAGCGTGAAGGCCATTGTGCCCTCCGCCTCCGGCATCTATTCACGGTAACTGCCCAGCCTGGCGAGGAGGCGATTTCACTCACGAACGGTCTACTATGAATGGACTTTGGGGTTACTTGGCAAGGCTGGGAGACTTCCACTGTCAATTAAAAAAAAAGCAACCCCACGGGAGTGAAGGCAGTCCTCTCTGGGCAGACATGCAGCTTCAGAACGCCCCCCCCACAGCCCACAGCGGCCTCACCGTGGGGATATAGGAGTGCTGGGGGCTGCAGCAGACCCCACAGCGGGCCCTGCGGGGGCCACTCTCCTGGCGTCACATCCCACAGTCCAGAGAGAAACCCAGACAGGCTCTGGCTTCTCTTATTCCCAAAGCCTCAGCGAGCCAGACCCGGGAGGCTCCCTCAGCCAACTGTTTGCCGACCCTCTGCCAGCACAGCCTCCCTGAGGCCTCAGCGCCCGCCTCTGTTCAAGAAGCATCACTGAGCAGCCGCGGGGAGAGCGGCCGAGCCCAGACCCTACTTGTCCCCGCCCCATGTAATAACCACGCCCCGCCTGGGCAGAGCTCCGTCCACAACAGTGGTGGGGACAGTGACGATCGCCAACTGCCATTTCCTGGGTGGTTACCCCGTGCCAGGCACAGGCAACACGCCCCCAGCCACAGCCCTAGAAAGTGGCCACGAGCCCGCTTTCCGGATGAGAAAACCGAGGTACAGAGAGGTTAGGTATCCTGTCCGTGCAGCTCCTAAGGGCCAAGTCCGGTCCAGCAGACTCTGCTGCCGTCAGCGCCCCAGGCACCTCCCCCCTCTGCAGGCACAGAGCTAGGAGGGGGCAGGCAGAGGGGGCCATGCCTCCCCCTCTGAGCTGCCCGCTCACACGCCAGGTGTGTCCTGTCTCTGGGGCTGTGTAACTCCATCCCCCAGCTGCCCTGACACCTGAGCCGGCTCTTCTGACTGCCACTTGGCCCAGCCTGATCCGGAAGATTCTGGGCAAGAGCAGGGCCCAAGCTACACGTGCAGAACAGGCCCAGGAGGCGGCTGCGGCTGCAGAGATGCGACCGGCAGGCAGAGTCCTGCGGCGAGTCCCGCAGCGGACCCCAGCGAGGGGCTTCGGTACTAACTGCTCGGCCTCCGGGAGGGGGATCTGCCGCTGCACAGAACAGAGACACGCCCTAAAGGAATGGGGGGCTAGGGCCCAGCAAGGGAGGGGAGTGGTGGGGAAGGCACCTTTTCCTCTGAGCAGGGAGCGGTGCAAGCAACCAGGGTTGAGCTGAAGGTGGGCGCCTGGGGGAGGCTGTCCCCCCACCCCCACCTTCCCTGCAGGTCACTAAGCATGGCCTCTACTTCATCACTGGTCCAAAGGTAGACGGAGCACCTGCTCACTGCTGGACACCGGACCCTTCCCCACCACCCCTTCTGGGTCTCTGCTTCCCGGTCCCCTTCCTGCTGCCACCCTAGTGCAGTCCCCCCTGATGAACACTTCTCCGTGGACTCGGCGATGGCCAGTGAGAGGTGGTGACTTGGGTCCACGGCAGGGTCTGTGCATCAGGCTCCCCACCCCCCCAACCCCCCACCCCCAGCTGCCTGCTCCCTGTGCTGGCTGCAGGAACAGGGTCCCTCCCGGGGCGGGAACACGGCCCCGTTGTGTGCAGGACAGCAGATGTGCGGGTCGGGAAGCCTCATAAGGAGGCACAGTGCTCACACAGAGGGAGTCTGTGCACACTTCACAGGGCCTTGCTTTTCCTACCAGGCACAGCAGCCAAGCCTCGTCCCAGGAGGGGATGTCAGGCCCCGGGGACGCCCTAGCCCGTCCTGAGTGAGCTGCAGGGGTGGGGAGAGCGTCGGGGTTCTGCTCCGTGGTGCTGGAATGAACCTACGCTGGGTGACTATGCAGAGCTCGGCATCTAGAGTTTAGCCTCGAGGCAGCTCCGATGATGAGCAACACGGATTCCGTCCACATAGCACGGTGCCCTCAGAATAGGTCGACAGGTGGCTCGGCGGGGAGGGGGCTGAAGGATAAGGGGCAGGCAGAGGGGGGCCCAGCACCATCACGAGGGTGATTTCCAGCCTGCTGGACTGAAAAAAGGCTTCTTTCGGCCCTGGGACAGCCCCCCAGGCCAGAACTACCCCAGCAGCTCTGACAACGGCCCATTGAATCCCTCACGGCTGGCAGGTCAGTCGCCATGGAGAGAAGCAGCTCTGAGTGGAATGGATTGAGGAGGGGCCTCAGTGTGTGGGTGGAAAACCCAGAGCTGAGAGAAGGTCCTGGGTGGGAGGAAGGACAGGTGGCGACCAGTCTGGGACTCGTCTGCTTATCGGACTCCCAGGGAAGAGGAGAGGCAGCTCCCACTGGACCTTCCAGGGGTTGGGAAGGGGGGCCAGGGGGCGGCTCCCCCCACTGCAGGACGGCAGGACAAGAATAATGGGGAGTGCCAGGGCAGCTGGGAGACCCCAGAAATGCCCAGGGGGACTTTGGTGGGAGCTGGACAGTCTGCAGAGACGGGTTTCCTAGACCGGCGAGTGTGAGACAGTCAACAGTCTCATGGGCTTTCAGGCCACTGCTGCCCCTTGTGTGTTGGGAAAAGCCACACCCCAGGCCCTGGGCAGCCACCTCGCCGGCCTCCGAGAGTCTGCACTTTGTTCCCCCCGGGGCCTGGGTGGGGAGCGGCCCGACCCTCTGGAGGGCAGAGGTGGGTACAGCACTGGGGCTGGCCAGGGCCCAAGGGATGGGAAGGCTCCGGCAGGCTCCAGCGACGCCATCGGACTCGGCGGCACCGGGAAGTTTCACGCCCCAACAATGGCAAACTAGGCTCCATAACCTGATCGTAAAAGGATTTTTATCAAGTTCAGCCATGGGCCAAGCAGCGTGCTGAGCACTTGACTAGCATTAGCTCATTGAATCTCTGGTCTCCCTAGGAGGAGGCAGATGAGGAAATCGAGGCTCACAGAAGGTAATCACTTGCCCAAGGTCATAATGATGAAATGCTGACCAAGTGCCTGCTCCCTGCCAGGCACTGGTCTAAGTGCTTTGCATATTGACTCAATCCTCCTCCGCCGACAAGGACAGGGAAGCTGCAGGACGGGCCCCAGGCTGCGCGGCTCTGGACACCGTCCTCTCAGCCGCCACTGGGTCCCGGAGGAGGGAGGCTGGGCCAAGGCAGCAGTGCATCAACAGACCTCCTTCTCTGCCCCGCCACGGGAACCCAGCGCCCCCGGGGCTGCTACCGCTCAGGGAGGACCCGGCCCGACTCCAAGTCGGGAAGCACATTGTGGATCAGGGATCTGTTCAGACCTCGGGTAATAACAGCATCGGGGCGGCCCGCGGCTCCCCATTCCCGCGACCAAGGGCATCCGACTCTGGGCTCGGACCTTCATCTCGCTTACCCTGGCTCCCTCCCAGGGCAGCTTCTGTCCTGCAGTCAGGACAAGCGAAGCCCGAGGGGACCATCCAAGGACCAGGCCGGACAGAGCCACCAACAGCACCCGTCCCCAGATGAGGGACTAGCAGGGACGCACACCAGGAGGCTTCCCAGCAGGTGCTGATGCAGGAAAGAGGAGACCCGTGAGGCAGCCAGGCCCAGGCTGGAGCCACAGCAGGTGGTACCCGAGAGTCTGGGTGCCT